ATGTCTATCACGTCTCTCGCCACCATGCCAGTTATCCACCTGTTTCTCTCATGTTTGTTGTTTTTGCTTTTGTTCTCTTCTGTTCAGCCCCAGGAAGGAAAGTGTTTTATAGAAAAGGAAAATACCATCTCTCCTTTTCTCTCTGAGAGCTCAGCCAACCCAGCCTTCCTGCCTCATCCCTGTGACTTGTACTATAAAATGTCAGAAACAGTGACACCAACAACATATCATCACAGATTCCTCCATACTTGTAATGGTTAGTGTTTAGTTGTCAACTTGACAGAATTTAGAATCACCTGGAAGATGGGCTTTTGGACACATCAGTGTGAGATTATCTTGATTACATTGATGTGGGAAACCCTTCTTAAATGTGGCCTGGACCATTCCCTGCACAGGACATCTTGGACAGTATAGAGAGTGATCTGAGCATTGGTAGGCATGCATTGATTTCTGCTTCTTAATTGTGGATGTGATGTGAGCAACTCCTTCAAACTCCTTCCTTGACTCCTATATCACAGCTCTCCCTTAACTACAAGACACAAAACCCCTTCTCGCCAATATGTTGTTTTTACCAGGGTATTTTATCACAGCAACAGAAGAGAAACTCAGACAAATACTTTTTTGTGGCCTTGAGAGTCAAGGCCTTTTTCAGTCTGTGTAGTGTTTACCTGGCCAAGTTCTGAGCAGGGTATGGCCAATAAAAAGCTAAGCTGTGACTCTGGTCTGAGACAATTGGGAAGTTTTATGGAGAACTAATGTAGAATAACTGACTATAGTATTCTGCTTAAATCAGGTGGACGCATGCACACACTCCATAGTCCTGTGTGACATGACGAGTGACACTTGATGTCAGAGTGATGTTTCCACATCTAAAAGGGGGAAGGATCACAACAGATCCTATTCCAAAAGGTTGCTGTGAGGACTAAATAGCACCCGGATTGATCACAGTGCATAGCAGGAAGTAAGTGGTAGTTTTTATTACTATAGTTAAATGGAAGTTTCATGCTGTTGGCAGGACAGGAAGGAGATGTTATTTCATCCTTGGAAAATCAGGAAGTAGAAACTTAAGATAGGCCTTGAAACACAGGTTGTTGCCTGGCGTGAACAAGGCCATGGGTTCAATACCGAGGATGAGTTAGGACTATTGGTAGTCACCAAGATGCTTACCAAGTGGGAGAGAGACTAGCCAAGAGATGAAGTGAGAAATGAAGTCCCCATGGGCCCCAGCTGAACCCCTAGATCCATATATGTCTAAAGCTGTAACTTCTGTTGCTGACAAGCAAAGGCATCTGACATAAACACCATTTCCTTTTCAGATGGGTTCGCCTGTTGGCCCTCAAGTTGGTATGTCCATTTCAACCATTCTTCTTCCCCTGGACCACACCCCATACCAATGAGGTCCAACATGACCTTGTGCAGTCTGATTGCCCACTGTATAGACTGTGTTTTCCAAAGATGGTTGCACTGCACATACCTTACAAGTTCTTCATACAATCTAACTGCTTCTTTCTTTTTTTAAAATTTATTTTCAATGGTTTTTCGAGACAGGGTTTCTCTGTGTAGCTTTGTAGACCAGGCTGGCCTTGAACTCACAGAGATCTACCTGCCTCTTCCTCCCAAGTACTGGGATTAAAGTCATGTGCCACCAGTGCCCAGCTTAACTGCTTCTTTCTTCTTCAATCAGAGCATGTGTTTGCAATTATTAGAACCAAGGCATGATGTTTAGCTTGGGTTGTCAACTGCTTGAGACCTATAATCTCCTGGGATAGGGCATGCCTGTGAGTGATTACCTTGATTAGTTTAATTGAGGTGAGAAGTCTTGCCCACAGTGAGTGGCGCCATTCCTTGGGCTTGGGTCCCAGACTTCGTAAAATGGAGAAAGCTAACAGAGCACTAGCATGCATTCATGCTCTCTGCTTCCCAACTGTTGGTGCAATGTGATGCTGTAGACTTCTGCTGCCTTGATTTCTCTACCATGGTGGGCTGGAACCTTGATCTGTGAGCCAAAATCATCATTTTGGTTACAATGATGAGGAAAGCATATGATAAGTTCCTAAGGAAAAGCAGAGGGGAAGAGGAAAGAGGAGGAGGTAGAGGGAGGGAGGGAAAAAGGGAGGGATGGAGAGAGGGAGGGAGGGAGGGAGGGAGTGGGGAGAGAAACCATGTTTTTTGTTTTTGTTTTTGAGAAGGGGTTTTCCTGTATAGTCTTGGCTGTCCTGGAACTTGCTCTGTAGACCAGGCTGGCCTTGAATCTGCCTGCCTCTGTCTCCCAAGTCCTGAATTAAAGGTATGCACGAGTCTTTTTTATGCCCTGTCCTCAAAAGTCACAGAGAATCATTTCTGCCATTTTCCCTGTGTAGGGTTACTTTTCCCATTGTTGTGTCTTAAGGGAGGAATTGCTTATTTTATCTCACAGTTTCAGAGGATCCTGTCTATGCTGGCTTGGCCCCGCCCTTGGGTAGAACACTACAGTGGCTGGAGTGTGTGGTTCCACTATCTTGGGACCAAGCATTCAATACATTAGCCTGTGGGAACATTTCATATTCAAGCCATCACATCTGCTACCATGCTATGAGGAAGTTCAAGCTTGCCCCCTCTGGAGGTAGCCTGTGCTAAGGCCTCCAAGGATAGGGAACAAGTCCTCAGCTATCAGCCAGCACCAAGCACCAAACATGAGGGAAAAGCCTTCAGGGGGTTCTGTGACCTAGCCCCTAAGTGTTCTAGCTTAGGTCCTAGGTGCAGGGAGCAGAGCTAAGCCATTCCTGCTGGGTCTGAGCTAGAATATTATCGAATAACAATCTGTTATCAAGATAAACATCACTGCTATGAGTAGTTGGGAGTGTGTGTGTGTGTGTGTGTGTGTGTGTGTGTGTGTGCGCGCGCGCGCGTGTGCATGCGCACGTGTATTGTATGTGTTTCTGTGTGTATGCTAATATGTAGGTATGTGTGTGGAGGTCAGAGGTCAACAGTGAGTATCATACTCATCACTTCCATACTATGTTTTGAAATAGTCTCTCACTGGATTCATGACTCATTGATTGACTAGACTGGCTAGACACTGAGCCCCCAACACACACACACACACACACACACACACACACACACACACCACAGTGGTGCAGCAGTTTCCTCCTTTAAACAGTCCATCCAGCTGGGAAGTTTGTCCCTGAAACAGACCAGATCTCCTAGGCCTCTCACTCCTAAGAGTAAACAAAAAAGAGAACTGAGAATCTCAGACAAGCCAAGGGGCAAAGAAGTCTCTAAGGCCAGAGCAGCTGCTTGGAAGGAGAAGCCAGTGGAGCTGTCTTCAGAATGTGCAGTGTGCTCCAGGTTCCCAGCTTCCTTGAGCTGTCACCAATTTTGGGGTGGGCTTTGGTGACACAGTTGTCTTTGAGTTGTTTCTGCTCCTGTGAGTAACCCCTTCCCATATTCCTGTAAGTAAACCCAATAAAACTCATTAGTTAACCAATTTGGACTTTGGTGGTGGAATCTGTACTTAGTCTGTTGCGGGCTCCTTATCTGGGGTAAGTTGGACATGTGTGTTGTATTTCTCCAAGAAAAGTCTTGTCACATAACACACACGTACACAACACACACACACACACACACACACACACACACCACACACACACACACACACACACACACACACACACACACACACACACGCACACAGGCACGCACCAACCGACCACACTCCACACCAGGAGTAGTTATTCTTTGTTGGGCCTGTCTTTTTTAAGTGGGTGCAGGGGATCCATCACGTGCTTCACTGAGCCACCTTTTAGCTCTGGCTGGATTGCCTCATTAGGCATACTAGTAGCCAAACCCCCTCCCATCTTCTAGTCATGAACAAAACAGATAACTCCAATGCATGGCACAAATAAATAATCTTTAATTTCAACAAATAATTCCCTACCACAGAGGACAATATGCTGTGGAGAAAGATACAGAAGCATCCCATGAGGGAAGGATCTATTCTAACTACACTAAAGCCTTAGCACATGAGACATGACTGTGGTGCACACACAAACACAGAAGGATCATTGGAACATGATCGAGGGGAGAAGTCATGATGGAGGGATGAGGCACCATTTTCATTCATGTGCCAGACCCCTGGTGGGCCAGAACCACCACGATTCAGTCAGAAAATGTTACTTTCTGCTCTATCATAACCCTATTTGTGGGACACATTCATACTATTTCTACCTGAGGTGGCATCTCTGATGGATGTATGGGAGGACATGGGGTGACATTGCACCGGATGGAAGGCAGAGAAAAGGGAACTTTGAGGATGGAGGCTCTGGCCACCACCTTGCTGTCTAACAGGATGAGCAGGCACACGTATGCTCACCTGTGAGGGCACACACAGAATAACACACAGACACATACATACCCACAGGGAGTCCCAGAAATAAGCTAACACAAGGACAAAGCAGGTGAGCCTGGGTTCCTGACACTGAATTACTGTCTTTTGTCACCCTTGGTCTATCCAAAGAGCCTAATCTAATTATCACATTTACTAAGGAGAAAACAAAAATACTTACACCTTTGGAGAAAGGTATCAGGTGTGGAGACCCCAGGAAACAGTGGCCTGTTCAGAAGTTTCCTGGCAAGTATGTTGGGATCAAGTCCCCAACATACCAGCCAAACTCTTAGTAAACCGAGTTGGGCTCTTTTCAGGAAGGCCTCTATTCTCGGGCCTCAGGTTGAAAGCACATTTTGGGACAGGGGAACGGATAAGAGCAGGCACTGCCAATGAGACTCCCAGCAGAGCCCCCTCAGCTTGTGATTTATGAATGGAGTTTCCGGAAACCTCACAAGCTTCCCTCAGTGAGGGTGGGTATTTCATGATCAACACTCAGCTTGCTCTCAGTGCTGAGAGGGCCTTGTGTATGCACGTGCACGTGTGTGAAAGTATATGTAGGTGTGAATTGAATATTTATGTGACACTTTTTTTTCTCTTTTTTAACAAATGAAGGCTGTCTTCCCCTTGGCAATCAGGTCACCTCCAGGGAGGCAGGAGACACACGGTCACACTCAGCCCGGGATCTCAGACTGTGCCATTGCTCCACAGCTGTGCGGTGGGTGTTTAGCATCCGCCTCCAGTGGTTGGATTCAGAGGGGCCGGAGGAATACTGGCCGATGACGATTCTCCCGATGAAGTCATTGCTGCTTTTCATGTTGTGACCAAACACTAGAGAGCCAGAGAGGTGAGGGCAGGCAGGGAGGAAGTGAGGGGCAGGGAAAGCAGTGGGATGGGGAAGGCATGAGACAGAGGTCATTAGTTCACACATTGCTCAGCAGCAAACATGGCGTTGTTGCTTTGGGGACATTGCTTCTTCTCATGGGAGCAATCTCCTAAGCCCGGCTGAGGTTCCTGTTGTCCCTTACCAAGTTAGCCATCTTCCCACTTAACCAACTTTTGCACTGGCTGTCCCTTCTTTGAGTAGCTATGCCACCCACAATATGCAACTATAAGCTTACACATCACTGACTCACATTGCCTATAAAACTCTATGAATGGACAGAGAGTTCTGGTGGGGCAGCAGGCTATCACCATAGTCCAGCTAAGCAGACAAACCAGGATTTCTTGTGTGTGCTATAAGTGCCTTTGTGTGCACTTGCAGAGACAAGAAGAGGACATTGTGCTCTGCTCTGCTATACTCTGCCTTATTCCCATGAGAAGGGTCTCTCAGTGAACCTGGAGCAAGACTGGTGACCACTAAGCCTCAATGATCCTCCTGTCTCTATACCCCCCAAAGCACTTGGGCTACAGGCATGCACACTCAGCCATACTCAGCTTTTTAATGAGTGCCGGGGAATTGAATCAAATTCTTATGCTTGCATTCTTAACAACTGATCCATTTCTCCAGGATTAAACAAGAGCTGGAGAGGTTTGTCTGGTGATGTGAAGGGTACTTAGCATCATCTCCAGAATCTTTGCACTAGATGCCAGGATCACCATCCCTCCTTCAAACTGTGACAACAACAAATGTCTCTTGACATGGCCAACAGTCTAACGGGGGGGGTCCAATCCAACACAGATGAGAGCAACTAGGGTTGAACTAAAAGGATAAACATTCTGAGGTAAATCTTGGGACTCTGAAGCAAGCAAGGGTGATTATTAATCTCAGCTGTCAATTTCAAAGGATCCAGAACCAACCTGGGCATACTGATGGGAATTATTTTGTTTAGATTAATTGAGGTGGGAAAATCCACCCACTGTGGGTGGCACCATTCCCTGGGCTGGGGTCTTGAGTTGTATGGAAAAGGAGAAAATTGCTGAATATATTGATTACTGTTTCTTGACTGGTACTCAGTGTAGTCAGCTCCTTCAAACTCCTCCTTACTTGATTTCTGCTAATGATGGACTGTACCAGAACTGTGAGCTGAAATAAACTCTTTTTGTAGGTTGCTTTTGTCAAGGCATTTTATCACAGCAAGCAGGAAAAGTATCTATGACCCAAAGTAGATACTTTGTGCCTCCCTTTCCTCATTGAGTGGAGAGAATTCTCACCATACTTTATCTTGAAAGTTAATGCATGATGGAGATGAAATAATGTGTGTAAGGCTCTCAGCACATGGTGTCTAATACATGGCAAATGATGTATCATTGTTTAGATCTTAAATTTCTGTCCATTGACTTCATGAAAAAGAGACTGCATACTTCCTCTTACAGTGGAGGCAAGTTCACTGAGAGAAATAGCCAGGGTAGTTTATTCCACACCTTGTCATACCTTCTGTCTCTCAGAAGGATTCTCTGTTAATTCCAATGCAAGCTTAATTAGTGTCTTTCAAACCTAATGAGATGGTTGGGTTGATTTATCTTCCTAGCCAAGTTAAGCCTCATTCTTTATCTGTGTGTGGGTAGTTCAATCGTGCCATTGCATTAATGGGGAAGCAGGCTGTGCTTGTGTTATAAATGAAAGGCTACAGAATGGGAAATATCACAGATTCACCCAGCATGAGCCAAGAAAAGGGAGGCTAGATCCCAGGAGGGGTGCTGATTATCAAACAAAACAGCTCAAATCCACAGCCCCAAACAGAGCTTGAATGCTAGTAGTGAGCCTCCATTCTCCCTTGTAGGGTTCCCATAGAGAATTCCGAATGATAGAAATAGGGTCTGGAGGAAGAAAAGTGGAAACACAAAATTGAGAACACAATCTAGTATCTAAAAATCAAAACACCCACTGAAATAGGGCAGGAGAAACACGATGCTTGCTTAATGGTATCGAATGCTTGTCAGCTCTGTGGGGGAAATTGGAGCGTGTATATTTTTTGTACAGTTGGTAATGAGCGTGGTGTGCATAGATGAACTTCATTATATGAAAATCCCTATGACAGAGGGCAACAGTAATGATGAAATCTTAGCACAGTAAGGAAATTGCTAAGGTGATGCACTGCAAAACAAATTTGAGTAGTTAACAATCAAGACCTTTCTGAACCATGTTTAGTAAGAAACATACATTTTTATCTTACCAGTCAAGAACAGGTTGTCAGGGTTCCTGTCCCTGTGAACCTCAGTCTAGAACAAGATTTTGTCAGGCGACCATCCCAGGCTCATGTTTTGACCTTCTCTGCTTCTGCAAAGCTCAAGAATAATGGAATGGTCCTGTGGTTCATGCCTCCAATCCCAGCATGTGAGAGAGTGAAGCAGGAGAAATCCCGTGTCAAGCCAGACTAGACTGTAGACTGAGCCCCCATCTCAAGAGCTCCAGTGAAAAAATGGCCATACACAGCAGTATTCCTCAAATGAGCATAGGTTTTATATCCTTAAGAAAGCAGTTTTAAGGAGAAGGGGAGGGGAGAAGGCTCATTAGGTAAAGTGTTTACCCGTGTAAGCATGAGGACCAGAGTTTAGACCCATAGCATCCATATAAACAGATCCTGTGCACTCACTGGTTTTGGCCTATCCTAATTGATGTGCTCCAGGTTCAAAGAGAGAGACAGATATCCTATCTCAAAAAATATAGAGAGAAATTGAGGTAGACACCCAACCTTGACCTCTGGCCTTCACATGCATATTACACACATATAAATGGATATGTACACACACAGAGAGAGACAGAGACAAACAGAGATATAGACTGGCCTTCACATGCATATTACACACATATAAATGGATATGTACACACACACACAGAGACAGAGACAAACAGAGATATAGACACAGAGACAGAGACAGAGACATACACACATAGAGGCAGAGGCACAGAGAGAGAAATTGAGAGAGAGAGACTGAGAAGAAGGGAAAGATTTAAATACTCTAATGTAATAAAGACTGAGTTGATTCAACTTTTGGAGTTGGTTCAAAATAAAAAGCAACTTGTGACCCAGCACATCTGCTCTGAAAATGAGTCCCACAGCACCACTTACAGAAACAGACACAGATAAATACACACAAGGATGCTTTATACAGCAGGAATTGACAACATAAAATTTCCAAGACAAATACAGTTCTTCACCTGTTTTTGTAAATAAAATTTTATTGAAACATGGCCAACCCCATTTGCTTATATAATGATGCATTTGGTCTGCATCATTATATCTTAGTTTGTTTGGGTTGCTATGGCAAAATGCCATCACCCAGTGGCTTGTAAACAACAGAAATTTATTTCTCATGGTTCTGAAGACTGGGCAGTACAAGATCAAGGCAAAGCAAGCTTGGCCTCTGGGGAGGGTCCTCTTCAAAGATGGCATCTTGCTGTGTACTCCCACACAGTGGGAGGGACAAGTCAGCTCTCTGTGGCCTTCTTCATCAAGCCACAAAGCCCACTTTCGAGTGCTCTGTCCTTATAGCTTAGCCACCTCCCCACAGTTCCACATCCTGATGCAACTACCCTAAAGTTAAGGCCTCAATATCTGGATTTGGTGGCATGTTCGAGGGTGATCACTGGAACCCAATCACCTAATCATCCCCTGGGGGTCCCATCACTCTCTTTTGGTAGCTCATTTACATTCATGTCATCAACTTAGAACACGCTTTGTAGATGCCAACAGTAAGAGCAGAGAACACTAATTAACCTCTGGTGTAATAGAATGCTTTGGATCTATATGATCGCTGGAAACGAGACAGAGACCTATTCAAAAGGAGGGGGTGGAGAATCTCCAAGACACACAGTTCACCAAACCGTCAAGAGAGACTTTCTCTGGAAAGTCCCACTTTTTGTGTTACATAAGTCTGTAGAGTTGAACTTCATGTAGCAAGTACATATTATGTTGGAAGAAAGCAAAAAAACAGCCGTTATTAGAGAATCCACATCTAAATCACCAGAAGGGAAGGAAAGGAAACGGAAGGGTATAGCCTACGCTTCCAAGCCCTATTTGCAAAGTAACTTGGCTGGTGAATTGTTCGGCCCTGGGGAGGTGGGAGCTCTCCTGGTGATTCAGTCCTGGTGGATGGGAAGACTGCCTTTATGGCCATCTGAATTAACTGGCAGGCATTGGCACTTGGAAAGTGCTTAGTAAAGCTATGTGCTCCTGACAGTCTGTGAGAAAATGCACAATTTTCAGATGCAAACGTAAGTTGAAGTTGAGTAAAGCTAATGGCATCAAGTGTAAAGGCTGTGTGGGGAAAATCAAGAGTTGGCATCTGTAGTGGCATCTTGCTTTGCCAGTGAACTTGCAGTGGTGGCCACACCCTAGGGGCATGGCTCCAGGTGTTCAGACTTGGCCGCTTTTAAGGTGAAGGAGGGGCTGACTCACCCTCTTGGGTTGCGGTCAGAGCATCAGAAGGGCAGAGACTGCATCTTGTGAAGCAGGAAGACCTCAGCAGTTATTTATTATTATTTGTGTAAATGCTTCCCTAATACATACCTAAGTATCTCGAGTCTGGTGGATTCATTTAAACCCACCTTCAATTGGCGCCCCACGTGGGAGAGGGTTCATATCGTGCATCCCCTTGTGGTGCTGGTGTTCGAGTGACAGCTTCTGCTCCAGGCCTGCATAGCCATGGCTACAGTTCCAGAGTTACTGGAGCAGTAGGATGAGGACCACAGCAAGGTGAGATCCTTCCTGCTTCGCTACCTAGTGTTGGAGGTCTCGCTGGCCTCCCTGGGCTCACTGTTACTTTTCTGGGGTTCAGGTGGTCCTCGAAAGGGAAGCACTTACACAAATAATAGTAAATAACTGCTGCTGCAGTCTCTGCCCCTTTGATGCTCTGACCAAAACCCAAGGGGTCGATCCAGTCTCTCC